ATATATATATATATATATATATATATATATATATATATATAAACAATATATATATATATATATATAAACAATATATATATAGAGGAAGGACTAACTTAGATTTTGATATATTATAGTTGTATTTTACTTAAAAATTCACGGAGATATTAATGTTCAAAATCGGGAGCATATTTTGGGATGTGTCTAAAATTAGCGAAAATCGGCATATCAAATATTAACTCCAGCGTTTGTTTGTTTAATGACATATCAGGCTAACTTGTATTTCAGCGAATTGTCGTCAAGGATTGTATAAAAATATGGTGTAGATTTAGACATCTTACATCTAAGCTCATTGTTTCCTGAAATATAAACGTTCGTATTATATTACGAAATATAAACGTAAAGTATTTAATAGGTCTTTAATACAAAGTTAAAGGTACATCAGAAAGACCATTCAAGGCAGGCGCTTAAATTTTTCTTAAATAGCGTATATTTTTTATGCTTTTCATGGGTTGAAAACAGAGTTGAATATTTCTCGATTAGAGCAGGATGAATATTATTTTTTAATGAAGGAAATAATACTGCATTTTGCAAATACACATCACAGTATCAACGCTACTATTTTGTTATGTTTTGTTCCAAAAATGTTGGATGTCTCTGGGGAGTTGCTTGTTATGTCTTATGGAGTTGTATGGTTTGATTGTGTTTCATTCTTAGTTTATTCTGAACTTGCCAAGATTAAGAAAAAGCAAAAAAAAAAAAGTGTTCTTAACAAGATTTCAGAACGTTGCAAAAGTTAGAAGAGCTTCACAATTCCATTGTGACAGCATCCCCTAATTCAGAACACGAACGATCCATGACGATCCTTCGCGATGCAGTCAGTGGTCTTATGAAATAAGGAAACGTACTCGTGCTTTCGGACGAATAAACCTTCCTTGTATTTTGTAGATAACAATACTTTGTTTCATAATAAACAATTTGTCAAGTGTCATTTATTTACTGGTAATAGTGCATGTTTCAGTCGGGCAAATCTTGATTAATATTTGATACCCCGTTTTTTGCATATTTCATACACATCCAGAAATATGCTCCCGATTTTAAACATTAATATCTCCGCGAATTTTTAAGTGAAATACAAGTGTAATATATCAAAATCTAAGTTAGGGCTTCCTCTATTTGATGCAAGTTATTTCTCGTTAAAAGCTTTACTAGTTTCGAAGTTATTACGAATCAAACCGGAGTACTTTTTTTTGGTACACCCGGTATATATATATATATATATATATATATATATATATATATATATATATATATATATATATATATATATATATATATATATATATATATATTATATAAGTTTAAGCATGCAAAAATAAATAAAAGAATATGATCTACTGGTTTACAAGATTGCCGTGTGGGAGTTCATCTAAACTATTATAATACTTGTTTACAGTATATCTATCTAAACTATCTAAAAAATATAAGGAGAATTTCGATGCCGAAATTCAGTGCTTGTATTTTTCAGGTAGTTGTATCTCTATCAGTCGGCAGCTTTCTTAAGCCCGTTCTCCACTAGGCGAATTTATTCGCGCGAACAGATAAAAAGTAGGAAGCGATCCTACTTTTTCGCCGCGAATTTTTTCGCCGACCAATCACGTTGCCGGAATTCGGTTTTCGCTTCACGTCGCGCGAACAAATTCGCGTAGTGGAGAACGGGCTTTAAGCCTGGTTTCCATATGGTCGTAATGGTCGTAAAACATTTAAGCATGCTGCTCCTCTAATATGGAACTCTCTCCCACTTAACATTAGGCGGTGTGAAACTGTTAACTGTTTTAAAACTCATTTAAAGACATTTCTATTTAGGAAGGCGTATAAATAGACCAATTTTAATAACTATTAGTGTATATATATATATATATATATATATATATATATATATATATATATATATATATATATATATATATATATATATATATATATATATATATATATATATATTGTTTTAAATCTTTAAGATAACTCTAAGATTGTTGACACGTATCTAGCTTTTTAGAATAGAGTCAGTTTATAATTGTTTTTGTTTGTGGAAACACCACGTAAATTTATTACTGCACTTTATTTACGTGGTGTTTCCACAAACAAAAACAATTATATTTTATCGCCATTCAAAGAACTTAGAGTCAGTTTAGTTATTATTGTAAGTTTACCATTGTAAAGCGCTTTAGAATATTACTTCATAGATTTAAGCGCTATATTTAAAGTGTATATGCAAGGAAAAATGAAAAATTTTAAATTTCGAAATTTGGAAAGAAATTACCTCCCTTAACTAGGTAAAAATATTTTTAGTTAGTAAAAGCGCTCTAAAAGTATTGAAAATGCCCTAAAATGTACGACAAATACAACTATTTTGAATCGTAACCTGATGAAAGACTGGTATCGAAAATTCCGGCCTTGTGACGTATGCAGTGTGACCACGGTTAAGGGTGTGACACATCCAGTGTTTACTTGAATGAAAACTACAAAATATCACTAATCGCAAGACAGTAGCTTGTATGACTTGTATATTTTTCCTTAAAAACGCAAAAAATGTCCGATAGCGAAAGCTTTGAATCACAGACAGATACAGAACAGTCAACACATAACGAGGACGTTGTTGAGCCGCAATCGTCTGTTGTACAGCCCTATCAGTTCGAGCCAGTTGCTGATAGTGACTAATGACTATGAGGAAGACGAAACAGGCGAAGACGGTCTTGAGGCGAGATTTACGAAAACCGTAGCTGTTAGTTCATGGTAAGGTTAACAAAGCAGTCTAATATCAAAGCGTTTCTCGAATTATTTATTAGCGTGTTTCGTTTTAACATGTGAATTGATTTTAGGTGCACATGTGAGCATTGTACTGATTGTAGTGATACCGGTGCTGTGACGAGATTCTGGAAATTATAGCCAAATTTACGTACGATGGAAAAGACGCTGAATGTATTATATAGCACTGGCACTATCCTGTTATTACGCACCGAACACTCGACAGTATATTACCGCAAATCAACAAGCAGAACTCAAGACGGGCAAAATGAGTAAGTCAAATTAATTTCACTAAATTTTGGTCAGTTTTCATCAGTATTTTCTATATATATTCGCAATAATCGCAAATGGTTGTATTTTGTAAGATTTTGAAACGTGTATTTTAATCTATCTATTGCTTTGAATATTAATATTTTGAAATATATAAACAAAATGTGTATAATAGTACCGTCGTGTGTAACAGTGCATTGAAGATACCTTCGTGCAGTGGCGTATATCGGTGGATAGTGAGATGGATATTCGCCATGCTTGGATGGGAAAACTCTAGACCGCTTCCAGCATGCCCCAAATGAAATCAGGAAGAGATATCCGTCTCAAAGCAACACTGGATATAAATAATCACAGCAGAGAACTGAGAACGTGATAAAAAGTGTATACTATGTTACGTAAACCGATACTGTAAATTATAAGTATAAATTAACCTAGTCAAATAAATGGTTCTTCACTCGGACTCTGTCGCGTGAGTATGATCGACTAAGAAGTATATATAGTGCGCTCGGGCCTCGGTGGTTAATACGCCTGTTGTGAAAACATAATTTTTTGACTGATAAGGCCAGAAAGGAATTAATTACGGCCTAGGATAAGTGACTAAGGAATAAATTGCGCGCAAACAGTAGATAGATACGGCACGTTTCAGCAAACGCAAATGGATGAAAACATGACACACTTGAAGCGTAAACAAGCAACGAGCTTTCTGTATGACGTGCGAACTGAGGTACTTTTGTACTTATATTCCTAATAGTTTATTGCGTTCTCGGTACACTCAACTTCGTTTACTTCAATTAATTTCATTTCGCCTATTCTGTCATAGTACGGACTGTATAAATTCTAACTATATCCAACTATCTACAATGGACTATATATAAAACGAAAATATCTACATTATGCCACAACTAACGACATCTGAAACCTACACCGCTACTACAAAATTGATTTCGCATTTCGGCGGCTTATAAGCGATAAATCGTCGTATGGTGATATCATTGCATTGATTTACCAATGTATCGCATCTACATAAGGTAGATTTATTTGGATTTTGTTTAAATTATCAAAAAATCCCAATTCAACGCAGTTGAAGCTACATTGTTTATAGTATTTACATATAGGAAGAGTGCACTGTGTCACACTGCATACGTCATCATGACCTCTTGGCCGCGCGAGGAATTTCATCAGCTAAAATTTTCATACCCAACTTTAAACGCAAAATTCACAAACTTCTAGTTCGAAGTATTCAACAAGGTTGGTATTAAAATGATCAGAAAAGATGAAATTTTCAGATAATGCAAAAATCACAAAATTGAAATTTTCATTGCATATACACTTTAAATACTCAGATTATTATTATTATTATTATTTTAGTGGATACTATGGTATTTACATGAACAACACAAAATTGAATGAAAACTTTGGCACTAATGGAGAATTGTCAATTGGAGGTTAGTAAAGTACGTCCGCGGGCAGTCCTCCCTGGCGG